ACTTTGATTTTCTAAAAATGGTTGACTCTAAGTCGACTTACAGTCGACAGTTAAAGTTGACAAAAACCAACCTAGAAATAGACGGCTTAATGTCGACTTTAATAGTCGGCTTTAACTTAACTGAAAAAAGTCGACTATTAGCCGGCAAACAGTCATTTGTGCTGTGTGGGCAGCTCCAATGGTTTTGACCTTGACATATGTTGTCAAGGTTATGACCCTGAGTGACTTATCAAGAGGTTTTAGCTGTCGCTCGTTAAAAAGTTAAAAAGTTATTTAACAAAAAAATTAATACCAATGGGGGGATTGGGGAGGGGGACCCCCCCCTTAGTAGGTAGTATGGGCGCAGGCAGGGGAGAACGCAGGGAGGAGGGGCAGAGCCCCTCCCTCTGTCTAGCACATAACTAATATCTATTGTAGAAACAGAAAATATGTGCTTTAATGCTCCTACTTGTTTAGTAAGGCAAAGATTTAATAAATATTTAATTTAATATACTTTCTACTTTGCGTAGGGGTCTGTCTAATCTCTTCGGTATCTATTACTTTTAGTGTATTGTAGACTCATTCATTTAGTAAGACGAAAATTTAATAGATATTTAATAGATATTTTAATAGATATTCAATAGGTATTTTAATAGATATTCAATTTAATATACTTTCTACCTTGCGTAGAGGTCGGTCTAATCTTTTCGGTATCTATTATTTTTAGTATATTGTAGATTCATATCTAGTATCATATTTAGTAAGGCAAAGATTTAATAGATATATACTTTACAATGCGAAGCGTTCCACATGAGTTTACAACTTTTATACGAAGTGAGATTTTACTTCCCTTAAAGATTCCCTAAAGTGAATAATTACCGTTAATTCTTATAACTTTTTAACAAAAGACGAGCGCTGGCTAAAATCTTTTGATAATCACTCTGGGTCATGATCTTGATAACATATGTCAAGGTCAAGGTCATGACCCTGAGTTGGAGCTGAGTCCCCTATTCGACAATTTTATCTCAAAATTATATTATATTATATTGTTCCGCGTTATCAAAGTCTTAACATTTAAACATAACCGTCCGAAAATTGTTTTGTTATCTAAAATAGCGTATGTATGACCTTATGTTTTATTTTCGTGATAAAAGCTAAAGTTAAAATTAAATAATAAAATTCAGAATAAAAATACGTATGGCAAACAAAATAATCTTTTCTATATTATATGAACATTATAAAAGCTTTGCACAAATTATGTATTTTTATTGTTATTACATTAATTGCCTATTGTACGTACGAGAAATCGCAATATTAAATTTGATTTTTGATCGAAACATTTCCAAAACTATCATGTATTTCATATGCAGTGTAACTTGAAAAATAATAAATTCTAAAATATTATTTATCTCTTTTAATTTATAAATTCTTAAGCAAGAGGTATAATCTTAAAATAACTTTATTTACATAAAAGTTTATTAGAGAAATAATTGAAAAAAGTCGCGGATACCGTCATATCACTTATTTGCTTTAAATCATATTTCTTAAACAATAGCTAAAAATAAAACTTTAAAAATATAGATAAATACAAATTAAAAAACACAAACTAGAAAATGTTTTCTAGTCAGATAATGTAGCAAATTTTTAAGATATTGTTTGGAATTTTGAATATTTAACATTTTCGTAAAACAAGCAAATTTGACAAAACAAAACAAGAAAAAGGAAAATATAAATGAAACAGTTTCAGGAAACTACATGTAAAACAATCTAACATTAACAATAACATATCCAGTATTATTTAAGCTACACAATTTGCAAAAAGAAAATCATAAAAGTGTTATTTTTGTACAATTTTCAACTCATTTGCTTCATTACATTATAGAAACAAGTTACAAATATAGAAATTATGGAATAACTACATAATGTTGATAATTTATGCGAGCCAATACTGATTTTGGTGTGTAATAAATTATAATAATTTTTACAATATCCAGCCAAACGCAAACTGTGCGCCGCATTTTTGTCAGTCTTGAACCACAATTCTTTACATAAGACCGGAATCCACTTGTAATAAATTAAATTGACAATTTAATAATTTTGATATTAACAAGCCTATAAAAGTCTATAAAAATCCCCTTCTCCAAACGTATAAAGAAATTTATTGCGAAAAATATTATCTCAGTCAGGAATTGAACCTAGATTTTCTTGCCGGGTTGGCATCCTATCATTTGACTACCGAGGTATGTGATGTTATTCTTTGCAATAACCAATATATAAACAATGTAACGCATCTCTCAGGCTGCGTGAAATATAAATTTAACTCGAAGAAATTAAAGAACTGTATTTTAAGACCGACAAAAATGCGGTGCGTAATTTGTGTGCAATTGAATATTGTAACTAAAAATTATTACATATCAACAGCCATGTTGGCTTGCATAAGCATTATGTATAGTTATTTCTGATTTATTCATGGGAACCTTAATTTTGTCAATATGAATTATGAATTATAAATTTTTTCCTTAATTGTCTAAACAAATGTTTTTATCAGTATTGATAAAATGCAATGTTTTATAATTTTCAAGAAAATAAGAGTCTCTTTAGGAAATTTAGATTAGTGACTTCTCAATTTTATTTAACAATAAATTGAACTATTTATTTTACATAATTGTTTTGTCAGATTTTTATTTAAAATTGTAAAAAAATAAAACGATTTTAATGTCACAATGAAAATTGTGTAAACTAATTTAAAATTGTTAAAAAATAAAACGATTTTAATCTGATAATCAAAATTGTGTAAACTAAAACGCCCAATGTTTAGAAAACGTCACCGTTTGCATTAAAACTTAAATCAACGTTATCCAAGCACAAAAATTTTAGAAAAAATTCAAAATATTGGGAATAATGAAGTCATTAAAAGTCTAATCAATTAGGCGTGAATTAGAAATTTTGCAATAAAACGTGCTATTGTTAGAAATATTAATTGTATTTACGTACTGTATTGATTTATAGGTACGACAATGATGCAGGAACTCATATGGCTGGTGGCGAACGATCTGAATTTTGACGAGGCACATAAAAAATATTTACTAGAGAGATTTCCCTTTATAGAGTAATATTTTATATAAAAACAACAGAAATTTAATTAAAACAAAATTTGAATTTTTAAATGTTTTTAAATATGTTTTTATATTGTTGTTTATTTCTAGAATGCATAAGAAATTTTATTGGATTAGATTTCACTATAAATTTAGTAAAAAAGTAATAAAATAAAAAATCGGAATCATTCTTCTATTTTTTTTCTTACATAATATAATGATTACAGAACAAATTATTAAACTTTCCGAATTAAAAGACACTTTATAAGAATAGTATATTTTTTTTGTTTTAGAATAGGAGCAATATTAGACGAAAATATCTCAGTGAGAGATGTTCCTGGTAGAATCAATACGGAGAAAAATAGTGTCGAATTCGTGCGGAATCAGCCTTCACCGCGTTTCATTAAGAGTCATATGCCTCTCGAACTATTGCCGACCGTCGTAAATAACACCTGCAAGGTGCGTTAATAAAATATTTTGTAAGTTAAATGCACATTTACATAGACAATACATTTATAAAAAGGGAAAAATATGTTATCATAAAAAAATATGTTATCATAAACTTTCTTTTAGGAAAAAATAACAATTCAATTAAAAAATTGCATTGTTATTTTAGTATCAGCTATATAAATTAATCAAAAATTTACATCAATTGTAACTGATTTTTTAAACTGTTGAGCATACACAAAACAAGATAAACCTATTCATTTTTTGTCTATCTTATACATTTCTTATTTACTTCATATTTTTGTTACTAAATGTTTCTATTAAGTGGTACTATAAAATATTGAAGAGGTACGATTTATGAGACCGGTACGCATTTGGCAACTCTCCCCTATATCTTACATACAAATTTGTAGAAATGAATTGTCACATTTTCTACTTTTATGACATTTCAGAAAAAAACGTTTTGCGTTAACATTTAATTAAAACTAAATTTTAATTTTCAAGCGTTTTCATTTTATCGACAACACTTTTCAGAGACGTTATTTTTGTTTTCAGATTATCTACGTTGCAAGAAATCCAAGAGACATAGTGATATCGTATTATTATTTCCAAAAAGACTTGATACATTTCAAATATCAAGGAACTTTTGAACAGTTCTGTAATAATTTCATGAATAATCATAGTAAGCTTTATGAAATATTGATTGGTCTTTACAATTTACAGTTTATTCATTTTTTCTTAGTTAACGTTTCAATAACCTAATTTTCTGCAATTTCAGTGCAATGGAGTCCGTATTGGGAACATGTGAAGGAAGCGTGGAAGTTGAGACATAGAGCAAATATGATGTTTCTTTTTTACGAAGATCTCATAAAGGTGAGACGGACAGGAATTTTATTCAATTACATAGTTAATTCAACTGAAAGTCTTCTTTATCATAAATGCCTTTAGTTGCGCTGTCGTGGCTGCCATTTTGAATTGATTTAAAACGTTTACTTTTCATGGTCATTTTGATTTTGGAAAAAAGCCAGAAGTCGCACGGTGTCAAATCCAGTAAATATGGTGGATGAGGTCACACCGCAATATATGGTTTTATTTAACAAAAATTGCCGTATTAGAAGCAATGCGTGACACGGAGTGTTGTCATGATGGAGGCTGAAATCATTTGTCCAATTTCTCAGGTCTATTTCTACGTACGTGGGCTGTTCGATAAGTCCGTGCAAAAATGAAGATATATATTTTTTTAAGAAAAAACGTTTTTTACTTTTCTACATAGTCTCCTTCGAGGTCCATACACTTAGTCCAACAATGTTCCAGTTTCTTGATTTCGTCCATATGGTACGATTTGTCCAACTGGAGTAGTGATCTCAACAGGGCGTCCAGAACGTTCAACGTCATTTGTATAGTCACCTCGAAAGTTAGCAAACCATTTATAAACCGTACAAATCGAAGGTGTAGATTCATTATAATTTAGGATATCAAGCTTTTCATTCTTTAAAATTCTTTGAAATTTTTTTTTATTTATTTTTTACAAATCACGGTATTTAATCGATTCAAGTAAACGCCGAACATAGAGTTATACGACTATCTGACTGAAACTTGGTGTGGGAACTTTCAAGAGTTGCCAGTAATTAAAAATAATCCCAACTTGTATTGGTGGAACAATCTCTTAGACTTTGCACAAACTTATCGAACAACCCACATACATACATTCTTTGTTTCTTAAACGCTCCAATAAGCTTTTATAATATTTAGAGTTCGTAAATGTTTTGAATCAATTCGAGACATCAAGATAGCCACGTCAGCGCAACTAAAGACACTTATGAAAGAGGACTTCCAGTACTGCTTCAGCAAGTGACAAAGGCGATAAAGGGTCAAAAGGATAAGCAAGAAGGAATATTTTGAAAGGAGCTAACTGTAATTTGTCTCTTAATGTAATAAGTTTCTTTTTGTTTCAATATTCACCGTATTTTTATCACACCTCATACATTAAATTTAATAATTTATTTATTAATATACATTAAATCATATAGAAAAAAAGAGGAAAAAAATGAAGGGGAAAAAAATAGAATAAATTGAAAGCAAAGAAACAAGAAAATAAAAAGAACAATCTAACGAAAGAAACTAAAAGCTAGAACGAAAGCGAGAGAGACAGAGCAAAAGCGAAAGTAAGAGAGAGAGAGAGAGAGAGAGAGAGAGAGAGAGAGAGAGAGTAAAGGAGAGTGAAAGTGAAGAGTGAGCAAGAGCAAATAAGAATAAGTAGGAGAAAGAAAAAGTTAGAACAGAACAGAACAAAAGGTGAATAAGATGTTGAGAGCGAGGGAATAACAAAAATAACTTACTTTTTTTATTATGTATATAACATTTTTTATCATTTTATGTCAACCTTTATTTATTTTATTTATATGTTCTACCACATGCATACTGAGGCTGCAATCCGTTATTCACTGCAACTGCAGAAAATCTATACTTTATGTTTCATATACTATTTTTATTACCTGCAGTGAATGCAGTCCGTAATCATTTACGAGTATATAACCAGTTGTTAAAAAAAGTTGTCAAATTTGCCGAAAAAGGTTAGCCCAATCTTGTGTTGAAAATTGCAAACGTACATCATAATACCTTCGCTCCGCAGTTTTAAGACGATAACGATGACAATGACGCTTCTTAAATAATAAAATATAAATTTTCAGATTCAGACTTTGTATAGCAATATCTTCGCTAATAGGGCACGTAGATAAAAATTAAAAAATTAAATTAAATTGAGAGAAGGTCAATACGGTCATAGCAGGATCTTAATGCTTCTAATATTCCTATGTGTGATTTTATATACATATTTTAATTTCAATAAACTGCGTATTTATTAAATTGATTATCAATTTAATTAATCAATTTATTAAATTGATTATCAATTTAATTAATTAATTTATTAAATTGATTATCAATTTAATTAATCAATTTATTAAATTGATTATCAATTTAATTAATCAATTTATTAAATTGATTATCAATTTAATTAATCAATTTATTAAATTGATTATCAATTTAATAATCGGTGATAATACGGTTCTGTTTCAATCAAAGAATTGTGCTGAATCCGAAAGTAACGGCACACAATTCGTTGAAACTAGAATATGTATGTAAAATCACACAGAAATATGGTATTAGAAGCACCAAGATCCTGCTTTGACCATATTGACCTTTTCTCAATTTAATTTGTGTTATACATAGACGGTCGTAATAAATATTGTTAAAAAAATTAAATTTTTGTTATGTAACTCAAACCCAAACTATCGATTGAGCCTACTCAAAACTTAATCGATTTAATCGTTACTGAGATCTGATAATCTCGGATACTCGTAATTCGCCGGTTCGCGTAAAGTACCTACTCACGAGGCGGTTTCACGCCTATACTTGACGCGAGATACTACCGTGTCTACTGACATGAGTACATTTATCTTATTTTTAAAGTAAATATATTCTAATTATATTACTTCTTTGAAGAAGACATTTCTTTAACAATTGACAGAATACATACATGCAAATACATCGCTTATTTACATCATCAGTTTCTGATCTTATTCACCAGAAAAAAATAAGCATACATACGTACGATAATAAAAATATAGCACATAGCATATAAAGATGAACAAACAAATTGCGACTAGCTCGTCCTTGTAAATAACAAACAAATTGATTAGGCTGGATTAACAAGCTTATTTAAATGAGGATGACAGCGTTTTCTATTATAACACAAATTTTTAAGTCTCCTTGGTTTACTCATACGTTCATTGTACTTGACTCCAAACAGTTCGACTCTAATTTCTCTCTTACTCGTTATTGAATTGAAATCTTTGTTCTGAAATCTGCTATCGTACCGCAAGTTTTAATCTCTTATGTGCACAAGTTTAATTTCTTATATCTCTGTGTAACAACATGGTTCGTCCTCTTATTTAATAATTGACTTTAATAATGACGTTTCAATCCTCGCCAATTGATCGACCATTCCGTTGGATTTTTATACATCAGACAATGAATTTATGCTGGAACGAAGATTTCAATCTCATTACACCGACGATTACTCAAAAAGTTTAATGCATTCTTATTGAAATTGACTCTACGAATGTAACGTATTAATTTATATATCATATTTTATTTGTAATTCGTTGAGATGGCTGAAGAAGACCAATCAAGGTCGAAACATGTACCATGTATAGCGTTTGATCATTTTACGTATAATGCTTATAGCTATTTAAAAATTTTTATTATAATAAAAAACACTGTCATCCTCGTTTAAATAAGCTCGTTAGTCCGGCCTAATCAATTTGTTTGATATTAAAGATATTATAATTCTGTAGTTAACGTTTTCATCTATTTTTTGCAGGATTTACCTGGCAATATAAGAAAAATCGCTGCATTTTTCGATAAGACTTACAGCGATGAGCAAATCGCTAAGTTAGTGGAGCATTTAAAAATAGAGAATTTCCGCAAAAATCCTATGGTAAATCAACCGAGTCCCGATAATGTGATGCAATCGGAAATATTTATACGGCAAGGAATAACGGGTCGTGGGAAAGAAATGTTCACGCCGGAGATCGAAGAGAGATTTAACCAGTGGATTACTAACAATTTAAAGGATACGGATTTGACGTTTCCAAGTTAGATTTGTTACACGATATATAAGCAAATGCATTTTATAAAAAATTTTGACTCATCTAAGATAGATTTGTTACATGCATTTGTTACATAATTTAAGCATTACAAATTATACATAATTTCTGTTCAATTATGTTTTAAATAAAGATAACTAATGAAAGATATTTAAAAAAGAAATTATAAAGCTGATTTTGACTTTATTGTTAATCGAAAGATGCGATTGATGAATTTGCAGTTTTAAATATTATTCTTTTCATTCTAAATTCAATCATCTTTGTAGAATCTTTATTTGCTACTGTCTGTCACAATTTCTTTACAAAATATATAAGCAGCGTTCTTGCTAAAAAAAAAGAAGAAAATATCGCAAAATAATGCAAAAAATTTAAGAGAAAAGTTTTAAAGAAACTGTCATCTCTTGCACATTAATGATGCATATATGTAGGTATACAGGATTTCCCAAAAAAAGTAAAATATCCTTTTATTGGCAGATTCTGGGGAGAATTCTAATTGTAAGACGATAACTCTTATACCGAAATATCGAGGCTAATGCTTTAAATGATTAAAATTAGTTGATTGTAGGGTTTAAAATTTGCGCGCTCAGGTACGGTACATTGCGTACGCGGTTGCGAAAGGCTCTTGTATAAAGTCCATTTACATAAGCCGCAAACGTAAAAGACAAATACAAGCACGCGGAGAAAAAAAGAAAGAAATGTAAAAAAAAAGAAAAAAAGAGATAAACGTCCGCGTTTGCGTTTTGCGTTTGCAACTTATGTAGATGAGCCTTTATTAATTTTGACAGTTGTGCGTAACAAGAAGTTAATAATACATATATTGTAATACAATGTAATGTGTTTAAACAAACAAATAGAAAGTAACGTATAAAAGGCATGCGCGACGCGCACGTTTGTTTATATACGTCTATCTATATATTTACATGTTACTTTCTACTTGTTTGTTTAAACGCATTACATTGTATTACAATATATGTATTATTAACTTCTTGTTACGCACAATTGTCAAAATAATAGCCTGTCATGCACATAAATATACATGTACTCAATATGCAAACAATTAAAACCAAGGTCCGAGAATAGTTGGAATCCTCGCTCTCAAGGCACATTCCCAAGAGTCCCAAGTCATCTTTCTACACTTAAAATTTTCTATCTCGCTTGCAACAGTTCTTTGCGCAAGGGACGATATCAATTCGATTTCGATTCTAAGCGATGATCAAAAATCAATCAATTAAACGATGTTTTTCGAAGTCAAGGTGTAAATTTATGCAACGAAAAAGATCGCCACGATTGTCACGTGGTCATTAGCTGTTCGATAGCGTGTAATCGATGTTCCCAGAAATTGTTCAGCTTTTAGCGAATATTCAACGCTAACATAATATTCGTACTGTTTGAAATAAGTATTACTTCTTTTGTCCCGGGAAAAAAAGTTCCATATATATAATAATTATATACAATTATATGCAAAATATGTCCATATATGTTTCTTTCCTTTGTAAAATTATTCTTTTAATTATTTTTTATGTTTCCTTCTTATTATTATCAATTTTGTATTAAAGAATAATTTTACAAAGGAAAGAAACGGACATATTTTGCATATAATTGTACATAATTATTGTATATGGAACTTTTTTCCCAGGGTATCATAAAAAAAAACATTTTTAGTAGCCGCTGCGCCTAAAGAGCTAATTACATGTAAAAAGACAATAATCGTAATTTGTATTACATGATTACATCCCTTACTAAATAACATGAAATTAAACATGAATTAAAACATGAAGCTCTGCGTAAATTATCTTAAAATTTATCTTATAGGGGCAATTGCTTTTTATTTTTGCCCAGCTCTTTCCTATTGTTTCTACTTCTTTGTTGACCGTTTCTTCTCCATTAAAATCGAAGCATATGTGGGGTGAAGGATCGAATTCGAGACTGCCGATTATGAATCAACGTGCTCGCACATCGAGCCATTCGTTACCCCGCTGTCTGTATTCGTTTCTCGAATCAATTGTTTTTCGGTGATAAATTAAATTTAAGCCACAGATTTACAGTGTATTAATTATAAGCGAACTTTATTAAGCGCAAAGGTTTTACATGTCCTCAGTGTCAAAATTGTTACAAGAGTGAGTGAGGTTTATAATAAACAACATACGTAACCCAGGAGAAAAAATAGTAGAATATAAAAGACAAAAGATCCTGCAACTAACTTATCTCTTATAAAAATACAATACATGCAAAATTATTCTCTACAACATTCGGACTTGCGGGTGAATGGTCCACAGAATCCTATCCAGCCATCAGAGTTGTGCTGACTGTCGGTTGGCTAGAAGAACCGGTGGGGGCCGATTTTTATTTTATTTATTTACTTGAGTTCTAGATGGTTTTGAACTCGGGTTTCCAACACGGAGAGCAGGCACACTATCATGTATGCCATGGCTACCACACAACGTATAGTTCTTGTATAATAATAATTAATAAGTAGAAAGTTACGAAACTTACCTCCGACAAAAGCAAATATTATACAATGTTTAAAATTTGCGAACTTCTTTTTAAGTTTAAAAATAAAGACGGTTGCAGCAAGCAATTAATTTTTAAAGTTTATCTGACTTAGATTCGAGGAAAATATCAATAAAAAATCAGTTATTCATGAATGTAAAAATAAAAATATTTTAAAATAATTTTAAATTTTGTAAAACGTATTTATTTATGTAATGAAAAGTAACCTAAGTTTCTTTTTTAAAAATATTAGCATTTGTATTTCGTTTTGTATCTTTATAAATAGATGCATTTTTTCAAAACTTTGTATTACAAATTTATTTATTTATAAATAAGGCAATTAAGGAATTAATTCATTTTTTATTTTCCATTTTCTAAATAAGTTTGCTAAATTTTAGTTAACAGTACTATTTTCCAAGTTGTTTAAACTGTAAGTACCTACAATATATCTTATTGATAACATAATTTACTCTAATTTTTTATTTAATCATAGTATATAATAAAATTATATTCAGCTGCAATTATAAGGAAAAAACATGTTTATCCTTCTGTTGTCACTATTAATTATGGATACAATTAGCGTCCCCAATTTTTGGAGACAGATATTTTTAAAGTATAATTTTGAACGATATTAGTAGCATCATGTAGAGGTAATTTGAAGTGTCTTTTATATAGATAGGAGACGATGTGCAGCTGAAAAGATTCGTCAGCGCATGTTTGGCAGCCTAAAGATGTTGAGTCTATATGGTCACATCGATCCCTGTGTGACAAAGACGTTTTGTTACTCGTGATAGAATAATCTTTTGTTGTGCAAAATTTATCTATACAACAACATACACATACATACATTGATTCGCTTTTTAAAATTTAAAATAAGAATCTTAATCGTCAAGGAGAAAAGCTAGTTCTTTGTGCTGAACATTATATTTTCTTCCAAATTGTCTAAATAATAAATTAATATAATACTAAATCGTTTCGACTTGACATCAAGCCATCCTCAGTAATTTTTACATAATTTAAGTGATACAATGTGGGTTGAAGTCGTCTGTCGCATCATGGTCAGATAATAAGTAATTTAAAAAAATTAATCAACTTTGTGTGAGAAAATTAACTTGAAATAAAGCGCTAAAAAAATGTTAAAGTTGTTTTAAGTTATCGTTCGTTTTTAATTATTGCAACCAATATTAAATTTATAATCAACTTATTTTGACTAACAAAGGAATCTCGCGAAGTCAAATTTTGATTTAATGAAACTTTGTATACATATAGGTTACGTAAATATAATAGATAAATTTAAAAAATATCAATGGCTGTCCAAAAACGGTTTTAAGGAATGAATTAAATCATCTTTTATTTATAAAGCAGTTTTCAGCTTTATTCGTTAGAAATTTCTCAAAAATTAAGATATTTAAGATATCAATAATTGTTTTATATAAAAGTTTTACAAATAAAATTACCTTTAAAAAAGACAGGACAATAGGCCAAAGACGAGCATAAAACAAAGGATGTCAATTAATAAAAATTCTTTAATAAGTCATTTAAATAAAATTAA